CAAAACCAAAACCACCCAACCAGGCCACGCACATTAGCAATGTATCAACCACGCAAAGGCACGCACTCATCTGCAAGGTCAAAGACGGTGCGGGCTGTTGATTCGTCCAGCTGCGGGTTCTGCTGCTTAACCACGGAGAGCGACGCAGGCTTGACAAAGACCACAATTGGGTGTATGTCCTTCCGCTTCAGGTGCTCAATGGCGTGCGCACTCACATCCAAGATGCACACGCGCCCTTCGCGAATCACGTCCTGCAGTGAGGCGAAGCTTGTTCCGTAGAGGTGGTTGAGGTACTGCCCGGCCTCAATAAAGTCGCCAGCTTCAATGCCAGCCGCCATCTTCTCTTGCGTCGTGAACAGGTAGTCCTCGCCTACGATGGTTGTTGTGAGAGGGAGGGTGAGCAGGGAGATAAGAGTGACAGAGGGAGAAACGGCAGGTGAAGAGAGGGAGGGGAGGATGCAAGCAGAACCAAGCAAGCAAGCAGACACACGCACGCGCACGCAAACGCGCGAGTGCAAGTGCAAGCATAAGCATGAGCAAACAAAATCAAGCAGACGCACAAGCAGTGTCTTGCACTCACCATGGACCTCGCCTTCACGTGGCGGCCGGGTTGTGTGTGGGACGCAGCTGCCAAAGAGCTCAGGGAACTCGGCAAACAGCATGTCTGTCAGCTCATCCTTGGAAGGTCCAAGGAGAATCACAGGACGAATCACATCCGCTGCATTGGTGGTGTTGCGTGGGGCGTCAATTGCCGTGTCAGTCAGCACTCGACACGTTGACACAACAGGCAAAAACACGCACGCTCGCGCGCGCGCACACACACACACACACACACACCCTTGATTGCAGCCAGTGGTACATACGTGTCTGTTGGTGTTGCTCCACAATCTCGTAGCAGGTGACCGGGGTTGGCGTCTTGGACTTGCGCCGTCGAGAGAACGACAATCGTCTGCAAAGCATTTCAAGTTCAGGGGATGTTTAAAGTGGTGAGAGTCACACAGCACTGGAAGGAGCCGTAAACGCAGGAACCGCCGAAGGTCGAATGTGTACGGCGAACATGCACGCACACACACACACATGCAAACACGCACGCATACAAACACATGCAAACACGCACGCATACAAACACAAGACGCACCGAGCGAAGCGGAAGGAGCGACTGCGCTTCTTGAGACCACCCTTGGCAGCATCGGACTTGGCGGCGTCGTAGGCACGGCCGCTCGGGTACACGTGGCCGTGCAGGCGGTGCCACCTGCGTTGTGGCGCGGTGTGATGGTGGTGGTTGTGTGACAGAGAAAGGGGGGGGGGGGTGGGGGCGTTTGGATGATGTTATTGGGACTCGACTCGCAGCATGCAGTCAATGACATACAGTATGGGACAAGAGGAGTCACAAGAAGCAAGGCTACACACACACACAACACACACACACACACACACACAACACGCGCACACAACACATTCACACACACAACACGCGCGCACCTGTGAGGGCTTGGAACCCAGCCGCGGTCGTTGTTGTTGACGTTCTCAACCTCCCACCAATCTTTGTTCGCCTTCCACTCGATCATGATGAACACATCATTCAGATGCACTCTGTTGGTAGGCCATGTACACGCGGCGTAAGCAGAGCTGAAAGTCAACACGCACAGTATTCGCAACGAACAACAAGCGCGCACAAAGATACAATCATCCATACGCACACCCACACTCACTCACACGCATCCCCACACGTGCACAGCAGGAGTAGCTACGTACTGCAAGAGCTTTTTCTTCTTTTCCTTTGTGGTGAGGCCTGTGTCTGAGCCGGGATCGTAGTCAAACAGCGCGCGCACACAGATGCTGTCGGGCATTGTGTTCTCCTGCGCAAACACATTCGCGCCAGAGTGTGTCAGGCAGTCGAGTCGGCGTGTGCGCGGCCACGATGTGACAGTTGGACACGACAGGCGTGCAGACAGGCACACACACACACGCACATGCACACACACACACACACACACACACACACACACACACACACACACACACACACGCACATGCACACGCGTGTTGTGGCTCACCCTGGTGCGCTGTTTTCTGTCGTCGACAAACCGCTTCTGCAGCTTTGCCATCTTGGCCTTGTACAGTGCGTACACATCTGGGTTTGCACGAACAACAAGCTCGAGTGCCGACTTGCAGTTGGCTCGGATGATGTCTGTTGCCTGCACATACGTTGCGTTTGTCATGTCGATGCCATTCACAGACAGAACCTGGTCTCCTTCAAACAGGTCGCCAGTCTGGCAGTTGGGCGAAACGAAAAAGGCGGTGGTGCGGGTATGAATGAGAACAGAAAAGCAACCAGGGACATGGATGCACGCCAACACGGGCACAGGAATAGCCAGACACACGCTCGCACGCGCACGCACACGCACAGACAGACAGACAGACAGACAGACAGACAGACAGACAGACAGACGAACAGACAGACACACAGACAAGCGACACACCGCTTGTGCAGGGCCACCCTCTGTGATGCTTGAGATAAAGACGCCCGAGGGCTCGTTGTCGCCTGTGGGCCGCGCAGATGATGGGCCAACAATCGCCATGCCAAGGCTCCCTGTTGTTCCGTGGATAGCAGGTGTGGTGTTGAGAAAGACGTAAGGCGTGATGTGACAGCACACGGCCGGGCCATTCAACATGCACTCTCAGCGAGAAAGCGCACGATAAAGCCACCCCCAGAGGTCACAGGCACACACACGCAGACACGCGGACACACATACATACACAGACACAAACACACAGACACACACAACCGGACCTTTTGCAGAAGGGTGGACGTGCACGGTTCTGCTTGGGTGATCCGTTCTGAGGACCGCCGATGAGGCAGGCAGGGAACCATCTTCGGGCTTGGTTGTTCCCAGCGATAACAACGTGCCAGACTTTGAAAACTGTCAGCGATAGCGATGGTTGAGGAAATGCAAACACGCGCGGTGAGATTGGGAGACTTGAAACTCGTCACGCTAGTCCTTCCCGCGTATTCACAGCAGTGCGATTGCACGACATCAACCAGAAAAGGAAATCAACACGCATAACAATCGTCACACGGCTGCACCTTGGCTGGAGGGTTGTCCTTGAAGCCTAGGCTCTGACTGAGCCCTTCTGCAGCCTTGTTGTATGCGTTCTTCTCGATCCCAAGCTGTACCACTTGCGGCGATGCCTGCAGCTCTTGCACCACATCCTAAAGCAACAGCAAGAAGCAAAGGGCGCGCAAGCAAGTGGCCGGTCAGCACACACTTCAGTCATGAGTTAAGTAGAAGATTGCAAGGGTGACTGAAGTGATTGAAGGTGGTGCTGTGGAGTCACCACCACACACGACACGCGGGCAAGTCTGTGTGAACGAGTCCGGAAACAGGAGACGCACCAGGACAGCATGGGCTTGCAAGCCCAAGTTTCCCTCTTCCCCATTCCTCGTTCGTCAACCCTCAAACGTACATCGTGCTTCCAACCGACGATGGATTTGCCGCCAACAGAGACAATCTTGTCGCCGACAGCAAGCCGGCCGTCCTCGTCAGCAGCACCGCCATCAATGATCTTGGTGATGAAGATGCCATCATCGCCAGCCACGTGGGGCGTGTCTTTGCCACCTGCAATGGTGAACCCGAGGCCTCCGTTGAGCCGCTGCAAATCGATGGGCGTTGGTTCCGGCGGTGCCTGCTGTGGGTGGTGCTGTTGTGGCTGCTGTTGTTGTTGCTGCCTGGTCTTTCGCCTGGCCAGCGCCTTTCGTCTCTGTAGGGCGTTGTGAGCAACCACGATTTGCAAATTGTCGGTGTTGCGCAGCATCTGCACAATCTCGTGATGCTGGCGGTTCTCGCATGACTCTCCGTTGATAGACATGATCATGTCACCCGCGAAGATGCGACCGTTGGCCTCTGCCGCACCGCCCGGCACCAGCCCCGTGACGAAGATGGATGTGTCGTTGTCCTGCATGTAAAAACACAAGCGCGCACGCACACAAACAGAGGCATAGCGGAAAGTTAGAGGAAACGGAGAGTGGCTACAGTGACTAGCGCGTGTGTTGGAGGCCATATTAATGCAGTGGTCAGCATCGCGAGCGGCCAAGACCTGCGCAGTGCGCTGTCATGAGCTGCAAGACAGGCACTGGTACAGGAGGAGAGGTGATACAGGAGGACAAGTACGCAAGTGCACTTACGAGGAAGGGTCGATCGATGCCGCCAGCAATGGAGATGCCAATCCCCGATGGGCCGTAGACGAGGTTGACTTCTTCGATTTCCTCAACAAATTCAGGCGAAGTGATGTCGCCATCCTGGTCGTTCCTGGCACCCTCCGAGCCAAAGTCAAATGCGTCCTCCCATTCCAGGTCTGCTCTGCTCGGCCCGCTTGGACCTCGCCCTGCCCGCTGCTGCTGTGTGCTCGCAGACCCCATCGCAGATGTGCCTGGTGTGCCGGAGACAAATCGCTGCTCAAACATGTCTTGCACCTCTGCATCCACACGCGAACAGCAACGCACAATCGCAGCAATGCCACTGTTAGTGTGCGGCAAGAGCGCAGCGGTGCTTGCTTGCTTGCAAGCAAAACAAGTGTAAAAGAAAGGTTGACGCGGCGGCGGGAAGGGGGGTCAAGTAGGGTGCACGGACACGAAGCGCTAGGTAGAGAAGGGGTACATTCTTGCATGAACCAAACAGCCAGAGAAAAGGGATTGCACGTGGCGCACCGAGGAGGGCGATGAAGAGCTTGCTCTTCATGACGCTCGTGAGCCGATCAATGTCCTCGATCAAGCTCTCGTCCTCTGTTGCATTGCGCAGCCTTGTCAGCTGCTGCAGTGCCTCGTACGCCTCTGCAAATGATGCGCGCGTGTGTGGGGTGTGAGTGAAGTGTGACATGTGAGTGTGTTGGTTTGGGGATGGCGTGCTTGGTTTGTTGGTTGGTGTGGAAGAGACGAGTCAACTGTTGCTTTTTGACAGCAGAAAGGCAACGCTAGCTGGCGTAGAGAGGCTTGTGCAGGTGCCTGCGCTGCAGCAGCACCAAGCAGCAGTACCGAAGAAGAAGAGGAAGAACGACAACAACAAACAACAACAACAACAACATCAGTACTCCACGCACGCACCTGATTTCTTCACGGCCATGTTGTTGTTGGTTGTTGTTGTTGTTACTCTCTTTGTGTTTGGTAGCGTCAAACACAATATGGTGTCAATGTTGTTAAGACACAGAACTGCCGTGTGTATGTGTATGAGTGTATGTGTGTGTGTGTGCAGTATAGACAACAAACACACAACAAACACACGAGTGCCACCAGCTCAACAACCAATACACCGCCGTTGCACCACCCACGACCCAGCCAAGCAACGAATTTCGTGCCACTCGAAAAACGACCAGCAGCAGAGCCGTTCCTTGCAGGCAACAGGAGAAAATCAGCCAAATTTTCAACAGATTTTCATCATCACGCTGATTCTGTTTGTTTGTGGTTGGCTGCGTTTGTTGATTGAGTCTTGACTGTTGGTTGCATACAACTCGCCACTGCATCTCATCCACTGCTCATTCACTGGCTGGTTGGTTGATGTACTGGTAGCTGCATGACTAGGTGTCACCCACCCACGCACTCTCTCGGCCCCACACACATTGCAGGGGAGTAAGGAAAGGGGCGAACAACAAGAAGCAGGGTTGCGCGCGTGCCGCACGACGTGCAGCACGTTGTCCGCGGTTCACCCGCGGGTCTTACTGCCAGCTGGCGAGGAGGTTCTTCTCCACAAGGGCGAGGTCATCCTTGAAGCCCATACCATCGTCGTCATCCTCGGAGCGAGGGTTGAGCGCCCAGTCGTGCGAGCTCACCTGCAGGGCATCGTACTCTGCCTGGTACAGCTTCCCCGGCTGCTGTGGCTGGCGTGCCATGGCCTGCTGCTGCTGGAGCATGGCACTCGTCTCATCCACGTCTATGAAGGGAGAAGGAGGAAGGGGCAAGGGTAGGGTGAGGGGGGGGGGGAACGGGGCGAGAAGGGAAAGGGGGGGGGAAGGGAAAGGGAGGAGGACGTATCATTTGACAGACAGCAGAGACGCAGAAAACGATGTGTGTGAGTGTGTGACAATGTGTGCACGTGTGTGTGTGTGTGTCGCAACACCCACACACACCCCCACACCCACAAATCCATGTGGGCAACTCACAGTTGGCGGAGCCGAGGACGAGGGAGTAGAGCCCACGAAGACCAAAGACACATGTCAGGTAGAAGGACATGGAGCTCACCCTGTGGACAGACAAGACAGCAGCAGGACGTGGTGAGGTGCATGAGAGATGATGATGATGGTGATGATGATGATGATGATGATGGTGATGATGATGATGACTGCGCTGGTAGGACATGCTGAGCACAGAGACACGCACACAGAGACACACACACACACACAGGCACAGACACACAGAGTCACACGCACAGAGAGACACACGCACACAGACACACAGACACACAGACACACACACACACGCACACAGGCACATACACACAGACACACACGCACACAGAGACACACCCACACACACCCACACACACACAGACAGCCATACACAAAGCAGGACAAGATGTGGACTGACAGCCATGAACGCACCAGGATGCGCTGAGGGTACTGAGGGCAATGCCTCGCTGCAGCATCGGCTTGAAGGCAATGGTCAAGGGAAATGGCACCTTGACTACAGGGCGGGCAGGCAAACAACACCAACAACACATAATCATCGGGTGCAAAAGAGAACGTCACGTGAGCCAGGGTCACACAAAATGCGTGCAGGTTGATCAAGAAGGGCTGAAGGCAGGGCAGAAAAGGGCGCATGCACACACATACACACACACACACACACACACACAGATACATCCAATCACACACACACACACACACACCCACACACACACACACACACCCACACCCACACACACCCACAGACACATCCAATCACAGACACATACACATACACAGCCACACACGCGCAGTGCGTAGATGTGGGCAACGTACTGATGACGAAACCGGAAAACGCCCAGCTGATGAGGCTCATGACAACAACCATGGGCACATAGTTGATGGCTTGTCCCTTGACCATGTTCATCATCATGCTTGGATCTGCAGCGTGACGAGCAACAGATACGCAAAGCACAAGCGCGCACATACACATGCACACAAAGTAGAAGGGCGGAGGTGAGAGCAGTGGTGACGAGCAGTGTTGTGTGTGTGTGTGTCCATGTGGCACGCAAGTACGTACAAACGAGGAAAAGTGGCGGTGGTCACCTTGCATGGGGTTGACGGGCGCGTCGTCCTTGTGTTCTTCCTTCTTCTTGGTGAGAACGCCGTTCTTCTCTGAGATGAAGTACTGCTTGCGTGCGTTGAACGCCTGTGGTACATGGCCAATGGGTGTTGAATGAGTACACACAGCAATAGCCACAGTTGCAGAGCGTGCAGTTATGAGATGAGGCGCACCAGGGCAGAGGCGGGGGAGAGAGAACATGCGGACGCACGCACACGTACCGCTGCAGGCAGGAATCTCCCGTTGGCGCGCAGGAGCCGAGCGCGTTGGAGCAGTTGTCTGCCAGTGTGAGCGTTGCCACGTGTGCAGCGCATGGTGCATGGTGCATCGTGCGCAGTGAGAACCACATGCAGACAGACAGACGGACGGGCAATCACAACACATCATCACATCATCACGCACGCATGTACGCATGTGCGCAAACACACACACAGAGAACAGACAAACACACACACAGACACACACAGACACACACACACACTCACACACACACACAGACACACACAGACACACTCACGTGCGCATGAGGACATCGCGGTCCAGCTGTGGGGTGGACGCGATGAGCTGGCTCACATAGTGGCGACACAGGCCAACACAAAACGTGATGATGAAGATCGGGATCACAACCCACGCGCGAATCGCGGGGTCCAGTAGCAAATCAAGCATGATGAGGCGTGGCTGATGCTTGGTGTCGACACGTGGGCAGTGGTGATGTTGTGTTGTTCCTGTTGTTGTGGTTCACAAAGAAGGGGCGTCAGCAAAAACCAAGCGTGAGCTTCTGTCCATCACACTGTGGCGGCACCGTGGTGGTGCTCTGATCCTATCTCCCAACACAACCACAACCACAACCACAACCACAACCACAACCACACCATCATCATTGTCATCAAGCAACTCCCACACCCCAACCAAACCGTCCTCACATCTCGCATCTCACCTCTTGCTTCACTTCTGGTTCTTCTTCTGTGCGTGGAGAAGGAGGAAAAAAAATTAATGTAAAAAAAAATTTATCGTTTCGTGAGCGCTGTGTGCTTCTCTGCAGTCTGTGCGTTTGTTGCACGCACACTTATCGCATGCAATCTCGCCTCACCACTGACAACCACCACCACCCATGAGTGCTGCTGCTGCGCTTTGGCGCTTGTTGCCCTCGGCGGCGCACGCTTCCCGAGTAAGTGTTTGTTGGGGTGAAGGGGGAGGTTACAAGAGAACTGGATTGTGGAGGGAATTAGGGAGTGTTTTCTGGTGTGTCTCTGGTGTTTCCAAGGCAGAAGAGCAAGCAGACACCCAACACCTTGTGCGTGCTTGTGGACCTTAATGCTTGCAGCCCACATGCCAACGCACGCTGACCTCTTGTTGTCCACTGCCGACCCCCTTGTGTGTGCACGTGTGTTTGTGTGTGTGTGTGTGTATGTGTGTGTATGTTTATGTGTATGTGTGTGTGTGTGTGGTGTACAGAGCTCGTCGCGCGTCGTGTTTGCACAGGCACACAGCAAGCGCTATGCTTCCTCCGATGCCAAGGTACGTTCCTCCCCTTGACCGCTGGCATGCACTATTGCGACATTCTTGCTTGTCTTCTTGGTTGCCAATCACCACACCACCACCGACCATCACACACACAGACACACAGACACACAGACACACAGACACACACACACACACACACACACACACACACACACACACACACCACACATAAATACCACCGCCACCAAGAGGTCTTATGAATCCCTGTTCTCCCAATTCACACACTTGCCAACAGCCGTTTGACAAGATTCTCATTGCCAACCGTGGCGAGATTGCCTGCCGCGTGATCCGCTCGTGCAAGAAGCTCGGCATCAGCACCGTTGCTGTGCACAGCGACGTGGACGCCGAAGCGGTAAGCCTTGGCCGCACACCTGCGTCCTTGCTTGACACCTCATGGGCGTGTGCAGGTTGTTGCAGTTGTGTGGCACCCCAAAACACGTCCTCGTGCATGACCCCTTTGTCTATCGTTCACCTCCCTCTTCTGCTCATTCTTGCATCTTGCTCCGCTCACCCTGCCCTCATCATCCCATCCCTTCTCCCCCACCACTCACGCATGCACATATTCACCACACACACACACACTCACACACACATACACACACTCATGACACTTGTATCAACCAACCAGATGCACGTGCGCATGGCTGACGAGAAGTTCCTGCTTGGGCCTGCTCCCTCTGCGGAGAGCTATCTTCGCGAGGACCGCATCATCGAGGCCATCCAGCTCACCGGCGCGCAGGCTGTCCACCCCGGCTATGGTTTCCTCTCCGAGAACAAGCACTTTGCCATGCGGCTGCAGGAGCTTGGTGTTGCGTTCATTGGCCCCAACGCCCACGCCATCGAGGTGTGTGTCACTTGCGTTCGTGTGCGTTGATGTGAAGCTGCGTTGTATGTATGTGCAAGTTCCCTGTGTCTCCCTGCAGTCGCTCGCCAATGCTGTCCTTTGTCAAACAGGCAACACACACACACACACACACACACTTTGTCTCACCCGGTCGCTGCACGTGCTTTGTGTCACATTACCAGATTATGGGTGACAAGATTGAGAGCAAGATCTGCGCTGAGAACGCTGGCGTCAACATCATCCCCGGTTACTCCGGCGTCGTCAACGTACGTGTGTGTATTGTGTGCATCATGTGTGCATCATGTGTGCAAGTGTGTGTGTGTGTGTGCGTGTGTGTGCGTGTGTGTGCGTGTGTGTGTGCGTTTGCGTGGCTTCGTGCAACTGTCTTACCTCCTCTCATCAACGCGTCCATCCCCTGACACCAAACCCATGCCAACCCATTCCCTGTTCGTCTCACCCTGGCCGCCGTGTGCAGGATGCGGACCATGCTGTTGAGATTGCGAACCAGATTGGCTACCCCGTGATGATCAAGGCCTCCGCTGGTGGTGGTGGCAAGGGCATGCGTGTTGCTTGGAACGACAAGGAGACGCGCGAGGGCTTCAGGATGTCTTCCCAGGGTAAGTCGTGTGCGTACGTGTGTATGTGTGTTGTGTTGTGTTGTGTTATGTTGTGTTGTGTTATGTTGTGTTGTGTTATGTTATGTTGTGTGCGTTGTGTGTATGTGTGTATGTGTGTATGTGTGTATGTGTGTATGCGTGTAGTGTTATGTTGTGTTGTGTGTTGTGTGTGTTGTGTGTTGTGTGTGTTGTGTATATGTGCGTGCATGCGATGTTCACCGCTCTACCCGAGAGAATGCCAGTTTGGTTGCATCTCTGATGCTCGTGCACGCAACGTGCAACGTAAACTGCAGAGGCAAAGGCGAGCTTTGGCGACGACCGCCTGCTCATTGAGAAGTTCATCGACGAGCCCCGCCACATCGAGATCCAGGTTGGCAGCGCACCGCTACCCACCCACACATGCTTTGCTCGACACACATGGCGTTGAATTGTGGTGTACCACGCTGCCGTGTTGGACACTCTTCCCCCACCTGATCATCAATTTCCTCATCCATCCACTCACCCCTTCGCACCCCCCCTCCCCCCCGACCTCGTGACGACCATAACCACGATCCACTTCCCCCTTGTGTGACGTGACAGGTGCTGGCAGATACGCATGGCAACACGGTCTACCTCAACGAGCGCGAGTGCTCCATCCAGCGCCGCAACCAGAAGGTACGAGCACACATGTCACACATGTCACACACGTGGCGATGTTGCCCAAACCATGATCACGTTGATCACGGTTGCATGGTGTGCTATCACCTCCTCCCCTCTCCTCGTGCCCCTCGATGGGCTCTCTGTGCCATGTCGATGGACTCCATCCAATTCATGCCTCGTCCACACACCACCCACCACCTTTCCCCACCATCTAATCCATGGCGTTCTGTCCGCTTTACGTCCCCTGTGCATGGCAGGTGATTGAGGAGGCTCCCAGCACGTTCCTTGACGAGGCAACGCGCAAGGCCATGGGCGAGCAGGCGTGTGCACTCGCTCGCGCCGTCGACTACGTCTCTGCAGGTAATACGCCGCTGTGATTCTCTTCAACTGCCAGTCGTCCCGTCTCGTGACGTCGTTTTTACAGCCACCTCACATTCGTGTCCTCTCTGACCATTCTTGTTGTAGGCACGGTTGAGTTCCTTGTTGACTCGCAGCGCAACTTCTACTTCTGCGAGATGAACACGCGGCTGCAGGTGGAGCACCCGGTCACGGAGATGATCACCGGTGTTGACCTCGTCGAGGAGATGATCCACATTGCTGCAGGTCCGGGCCATGCACGCACACATGCACATACAGACATGCACGCACATACATACATGCACGCACACACATACACACACACACATATATACATATATATATCTTTATACATACACACGTGTATGCACATGCATATGCATACACACATGCATACACACGCGCAGCACACGCGCAGCACATGCACACCTCTACACCGGCCTCACGTCTGTCACCCCAATCACCCCATCCCCCACCTCCCTTCTCTCACCACTGCCAGGCAAGCCCATGAGCGTGACGCAGGACGACATTGGCATCAACGGGTGGGCGATTGAGTCGCGTGTGTACGCCGAGGACCCGGCCAAGTACCTCCCCTCCACAGGTCTCCTCACCCATTACAGGGAGCCAGAGACGGTACGCGCACAGCACATTGTCGTGGGTGATTAGTGTCGTGTGTCCTTGACAGGGGGAGGGGGGTTTGAACAAGGTTGAAATGTGGCTGTGATATTCTTTACCACCGTTCCATCACATCACGACTGAGCCATCTTTCTTAAAACATGATAACGCTCATATTCGCTCCTCTTTCCAAATTGGCCGTCGTTGCTCGCAATGACACGAACCCCACTTCCGCCGACTCCCCTCTTGCTTTCTCTATCTATCTCCCTTTCTCTTTCTCGTCCATGCGTATCTGTTCGGTTGCACAGGGCAACGGTGTCCGCGTTGACTCTGGCGTGTTCGAGGGCGGTGAGATCAGCATGTTCTACGATCCTATGATCTGCAAGCTCATCACTCACGGCAAGGTACAACAACTCAAGCAAGCATGCACCTGCGTGTTGGTTGATGCACACGCACGCATGCACTTGCTGGCTTCTGGTTGGTGTTTACTGTAGTAGTGTGAAAGGTCGGTGGGGCAAATTGCATCTTGTTTGCACGTCCAACCAACCAGCGCACCGCCATTGCAATAATATGCACCAAACTGCTGTCTGCCATCGCCATTGTCAGGACCGCACGGAGGCGCTTAAGTTGATGAACAACGCCCTCGACAGCTACGTCATTCGTGGTGCGTGTGCTCTTCAACAAGCGCCGTACACACACACACACACACACACACACACACACACACACACACACACACACACACACACACACGTGTGCACACATGCCCTTTGACACCATCCACAACTTGCCCACTGGTTTTTTCCACTGACGTCTCTCACGCGCCCACACATTCCCCATGTTGCTTTCAATTCCTCACGTCCATGAATTCAACACCACCACCACCACTTCCACTTCGTCTCTATCTCATGCAGGTGTGAAGCACAACATCCCGCTGCTGCGCGAGCTGTATGCGCACCCACGCTTCATCGCTGGCGACACGACGACCAAGTTCCTTGAGGAGGAGTACCCCAATGGCTTCACCGGTGAGCGGGCGGCGCCAGTTGATGACGTGGCTGCCTTCACTACGAAGATGCTGGCTGCACCGACCACACTGCAGCGCTTGCACGCACGCACACGCACCTGGCTTCCTGTTCATTCTCTCACCCAACCGCAAACACCCTCTTCCGCACACACACACACACAACACGACACAACACGACACAACACGACACGACACCACGCAAACCTTTGCAGGCCACACGCTGACGGCAAAGGAGACGGAGCAGGTGCTCGCTGCAGTGACCGAGGTGTACTACCGCCAGATGCTGTACAAGCAGCGCATCTACAACGTGTCCAACCTCCCCGAGACACTCTTCTACTCGGAGGACCTTGTCATCAGCATCAACGGCACCACCCACCGCGTGCTCGGCCACCTGTTTGAGGATGCACTCAAGCTTGAGCACGAGGGCGAGGAGATTTACATGGATGCGATTGACTGGCGCATGGGCGACCCTGTCTTCCGCGCAGCCGTGGACGGCAATGCGGTCACGCTGCAGGTCGAGCCAAAGGGCCCGGGCAAGTACACCATCATCCACCACGGTACCCCGGTACGTACACCCGTGATGGTGATGCTGATGATGATGGCGGGATGGCAGATGGTGGTGATGAGGGAGATGACAGTGGTTGTGAGGAGTGTCGGGTGTGGTGGCGTTGTGGAAAGAGGTCACTGAGGGGTTGTGGTGGTCGTGCGCCATGCCTGGTGTTTGGTGTGTTGCTTCGTCATGCACGCGACTTGGGGGCTTGTTTTGCCCATGCGACGCCTCACCGCCTTGACCGTGCTGCTGTTGCGCTATTGCTGTGCAGTACGACGTCCAAGTCCGCACTGAGGTTGAGGAGCAGAGCTTCAAGATCTTCCCCGAGAAGCCCAAGAAGAACCTCGACGACATGATTCTCACCCCGATGCCAGGCACACTCGTCTCTCTCAACGTGAAGGAGGGCGACACGGTTGTTGAGGGCCAGGAGGTTGCTGTTGTGGAGGCGATGAAGATGCAGAACCAGCTGCGCGCCCCTCGTGCCGGCAAGATTGCCAAGATCCACTTCAAGGTGTGTTTCACAGCGAAGCGGTGTGGCGTTTGCGGTGTTGTGTTGTGTTGTGTTTGTGGGTTCGGCGTACCTTTGTGGTGGTGGCACCATGTACAGTTGCACTCACGCTATGTTGATCGCCCTTTGTTGCATCTTACAGACTGGGGACACGCTGGATGATGAGGAGGTGATCATTGAGTTTGAGCCCGAGGACACGCCTGAGGACACCAAGGCCGAGTGATGTCCCACACCCACTCGCGCTCGGCGCATGCAACCAACCCTTCGCACGACACAGCCCTGTATCCGACACCCAAGTCCTCACAAACATTGAATGGCGTGTTTGCACAGCCATCTTGGCCTTGGTTGATCATTCTGATTGCTTGCTCGCTGATGTCAGTTTGCATTTGATCACTTGTTTGGTTGTTGTGTGCAGCTGCAGTTGTCAGAGTGTCGGGTGGTGTTTGTTTGTGCGTTTGTGCCTTTTTTTTTGTTTGCCGCATTCACGTCGTTTACTCTCAGTTGGATTACAACCAGCACAGAAGAACAGCGTCAAATCAACTCATGCACGTTGTGGCAGTGAGCGAAATGTATAAGGGCAATCACAGACAGACAAAAAGACAGATAATGCGTAGACATGCATACATGCATACAGATCGACAAACAGACAAGGCCCAGCGGTCTCACACCTCGGGTGAATCATCATCATCATCATCATCATCATCATCATCATCATCATCATCATCATCATCATCATCGTGGTGGTCATGATCATCATCCATCTCGTGTTGCTCGTCCTCATCATAGCTTTCATCCATCAGCTGTTGCAATTTTCATCCACGCCAGCGAGACCTAAAGTCAACGGGCCACGTGGCGATGCGTGTGAGGTCAGCAGGAACAGCAAAACCACATGAATACACACACACACTGTGCGCACCTTCTTCGATGACAGTTTTGAGCCTTTTCTGCATCTCCGCTCGTGCCTGCTCTCGTTCAGCCTCGCTGACTCCCTGGTTGGTCTGCTTTTGTTGTTGTTGTTGCTGTTGTTGCTGCTGCTGTTGGCTGTTGGCTGTGGTGGTCGTCTCGTCCCCTGTTGTCACAGTTGCAGTGTTTGGTGTCGCCGCTGTCGATGTTGTGGTGTTCGCGGTTGTTCCGGCTGCTGATGCTGCGGATGTACCTTCGTGTGACACAGAGCCGGCCTTGCTGGAGGAGCGTGAAGCATGCGCTGTCTTGCTCGTCACCTTTTGTGCGTCCTTGAGCACATTCATCAGTGCACACAGCTCCACGCTCTTGTGAGACGTTTGCAGCACCGGCATCCGACCCTTCACATACGAACGCACGTCCTCTGCCCACGAGCCAAGCTCGCCTGCAGTCCACGCGCACACACGTATTCACAAGAAGCAAAGGGGTATGGTGCCAGAGTGCGCGTGAGCGCGCGTGTATGTGTGCGTGCGTGCGTGTGCGTGTGTGTGTGTATGTGACGTCTGACAAACCACGCACATGCACGCACATGCACACATGTGCACACAAATAAAACCAAACACTCAATCATGCACATACCTGCTTCCTTGTCTGCAATCAAGGCTGCTCGAACAGACGCAGCAAACGCGGTGACAACACTGTCAAGACAGCCCATCAAGTTGGAGATGGGAATGTCGATATCCTGAAGACGAAGTATGATGTCGCACATGCTCTTGCACACCACTGATCAATCAAGCAGAGGAGAGGAGAGATGAGTGGGATTGTTGGCCGGTGGAGACATGGGGTCGTGTTTGGGGATGTCAATAGACACAGGAAAAACATATACACGCACACATACGCAGACAGACAGGCAGACGGAGACACTCACACAGACACAGACACAGACACAGACACACACACACACATGCACACAGGGCGTACGTGGTGAGGGCAGGGCGGCTGCGTGCGCCTGCGCGTCGATAACAGCGACAATGCCCAGCAATCGCTTGGCGACAGGTGGGGAAGGCGGTTGCTTGGTGCAGTCCTTCACAATGTCTGCAAGGTCAGACCAGTTCGTTTCGGATGAAGGGTCACGGAGAAGCACATGGTGGATAAACGCGTTGAGCGCGCTTGCCGTCAGATGTTGTTTTGTTGTGTCACCGACATCCTTCTGCCGCTGCAATTTGTGGAGGAGACGGACAAGGGCAGTGGTGGGTGGCGTAGACACGTGTTCCAATGCAGGCTGGTCGCGCGCAAGCATCAACGCAACTGCCGCCAGCCACTTGTGGGTGATCTCTGCACACACTTTCACGCGTCTTGGGTGTGCAAATACAACCAGAAAGCAGCAATGAGAGAAATGTGGGTGAGCAAGGGAGTGCGTGTTTGAGCTGCGTTCAGGTGAACATCATGTCATGGGGGCAAGATCCTGTCAACAAACACTCAAAGTGGTGTGTGTGTGTGTGCGTGTGTGTGTGTGTGTGTGTGTGTGTGTGTGTGTGTGTGTGTGGAAAAACACAGCAGACGTGCGATTCTCGCTTACTTTCGAGGTGGCTGCACGATGGTATTGACACAGTCGACAGACCATACCCACACCTCAAACAGCTTCGCCTGTTGTGGTGAGGTGAGAACAGAGGTAAGTAGACTGCTTGTGAGTATATTTTCCAAGAGACACGCCACAACCTGGGCGATGCCAGACAGACACACACTCACACAAGCAAAGCGAGAGACATACAAGCGTACTGACAGACAGACAGACGAACACACAAACACATAGACAGCCACACACACACACACAGACACACACAGACAGACAGACACACGCACACACACAGACACAGACACAGACACACAGACACACAGACACACACAAATCAGGAAGCGCAAGCAAGTGTAAGTGCGAGACACATCGCTGGGGGGGGGCATGTATGACCTGGGGTGTGAACACGAGCAATGGGTCCAGAACAGCGTGTGCCGCTTGCGGAAGTTGGTGACGCAGAAACATGTCGGCCAAGCACAAGCGCGCATTGTGATTGTAGTGTTGCAATCGACGAATATGCTTGAAGAGCTCTTGTGCAATCTTCATCATCAGCTGCTGTCGTCGCTCTGTTATATGCTGCGGCTGTTGTTGCTGCAGATGCGCGGACGAAACCGCCTCGAAGAACAGCCTCAGCTCCACCGCTGTCTCGGTTTCCAAGTTTGGTTGCGTGGGATCAAAGGCAAACGCAAGCTTTTCGGCCAAGTAGAGCTTACAACGAGGGCACATGAACAGGTGTGAGCATACACACGTGCGCATGAATACGTGGTGTGCATGTGCATGTGGGTGCGTTGATGAGTGTTCGTGTACATGAGTGTGTATGAGTATGTATGTGCATGTGTGCATGTGCATGTGTGGTTGATGTGGTGTTGCGCAAGATCGTGTGTCATGACCTCTAATGCAATGTAGTTGACAGTCCTGTCTGTCCACAGTGAACGCACCTCTTGGCCGCGCATGACAGTTTCCGCCAGGCGGCAGAAGAGGCGGCAGTGCGTTTCGCACTCCGCTGCGTGGATGTGGTTGTCTGGCTTCTCGGGGAGCTGGTGGCACAACAGATGGAGACACACAGGCCATGGCCAAATGGAAGTACGTGAGCAACGCTAGCGATCAAGCGGCTTGCTGAGGCCAATGCAGCACAGCACGAAACACAAGCACCTTGGTAACCATCAGAAAACTCGCACATCTTACACACACACACACACACGCACCACACACACACACACACACGCACCACACACACACACACACACACACACACACACACACACACACACACACACACACACACACACACGCACACACGCACACACACACGCACATCACACAAACACACAACCTCGCCGGCGGATTTGTGAGCGACTGCAAAACAGAGAAGAGCAGAAGACAAATCGCCCTCGGCAAAACACACTTCCGCACGCAACAGCCAGTCATCCCTATAACAACAACATGTGCAACAATGGAGAGCACCACGATCAGAACGCGTCGAGGTCGTGATTCAGGCGCGAACGACTGTCCCATTCTCAAAGCACAGCACATCAATCAGCCCAAAACGCAAAAAAGGGGAACACAGACACAGACAGAGAGACAGACACAGAGACACAGAGACACGGAGACACAGACACAGACAGACAGACACACGCACACAGACACAGGCACACACAGACACACAGAGACACGGACACACAGACACAGACAGACAGACACACGCACACACATACACGCACACACATATATACACACAGAGATACGCACCAGGTCCAGTCTGGTAGGGACTTCAGGCTGTCCTTGTGCGTGACGGTGTCGATGGAGAGTGGCGGGAGCGCCTCAAGCACCATGCGCGTTGCGAGTGCTGCGAATCGCCTGTCGCCAAACATCAGCGGGGGTGCGGGCGGTCCCACCGTTGGGGTTGACGCTGGGGTCGGGGCGGACGAGGACGACAGCACAAGCACGGGGCCCTGAGACAGACACACACATGTGTGTATACGTGTGTGTATACGTGTGTGTTGGTTGTGAGCATACACAAGGAAAATGAATGAGTACTATGCAAGAGTATAGAGGAGATCAAAGAGACGATGGTGGTGACGGAGGAGATCAAAGAGACGATGGTGGTGACGGCGGTGACGTTGGAGCAGATGCGTCGAGCTGTGCAACGTCAGGAGTGATGGACGGGGCACCTTGTAGATTTGGCGAATGGAGCGATCGGCACACGAGAGGAGGAGAAGTGAAACGTGCATACGGGTGACATGATCCAGCGCGTCTTCATGGTGGCGAAGGAGTTGGAGATAAAGAAACAGCGCAACTTGCTGTGGACCGGGTGAATGATGCAAGCAGCGCACGCGTGTAAGAAACTGTACGTGTGCAGCTATCAGTCAAGCAATAAGGCAAGCAGGTAGACAAACGTATAGACAGACACATAGACAGACGCATAGGCAGATTGTCACAGAGACGATGGTGGCTGAATGGACACTGAATCACAGACAGGCAGATACAAAGCGCACGCAGACACTTGCGCGAACGCTCATCGACCCCACCCCGCACACCCACCACAAAGTCTGCCATGAGGACGTTTGGAGAGGGGCTGTTGAGCTCATTCCAGGCAAACACGGTGGCCTCAGCTGCCTGCTCGAGAATGAATTGTGGTGTTGGGTTGCACAGAACGCGAGCCAACAACAGCTCCAATGGTCGATCCTCTTCTGTGTCAACCGTCTGCAAACAGCGCACATTCGTGTGTTGTGTGTGTGAGTGCATATGTGTGTCAATACATGTGTGTGTGTGTTTGTATGTGAGAGAGTGTACTATGGCGCTTACGTAAAGTAAGCCCTTTAGCTGTAACCACGACATTCAAAACACACACACACACACACGCACACACGCACGCACACGCACACGCACACAAAGCCACACGCACACGCACACGCACACGCACACATACACAAAGCCACCAAAGTCTCTGTTGTTCGCGCACCTTTGCAAAGAGCAGTGAGATGCAGTGGTCGATGACGGGCAGTGGCAGGGGCGCCTCTTCCTCCAGCATAATCTTCTGCACGCGCTCAAGATCTCTCCAGTCCGGGGACGTGGATGGCAGCATGCACAAACGCCGGAGCTCCTTCACGGCTGCGCCGGCAATGAAGCGGGTGAGACACATGTTCCTGCCCCACTCGTGGTAGCGCTGCTTGACGGAGATACCAAAGAATGTGGCTCGGTACAGCAGCCGCGCAATTGCATTATCGTCCTCGCGCTGCACTCGTTGACGCATGAAACGGATGAATGCGGTGGTTAACGTGTGCATGTGCGGTGTGTGCGTGTGTGCTGTGTGTGTGTTGTGGGACAAAGAGGGAAGGAAGTGAGCAAGCACACACATGTGTGTGTGTGTGAGGGGAACAGGGCAGGCAGTAAGGTTGCAAGGTGTGTTGTAACAGGCAACATGCACTGCTTTGCGTGTAGGTGGACAACATGTGCAAGGTTGACGCACCGACGGAGCAGCCACGTCGCCCGGTGAATGCTTTTGTTTCATCTCGCTCTGTCATGGAGTCGAGAAATCGCCGGGTGCAAACGGCAATGAACAGATCATGAATGAAGGGTACATTTGGACGCAACAAGATACATCAAGCACGCAAACTGAGATAGACAAAGAGACAGAGGCAGAGAGACAGATACGCACGCAGACAGACAGACACACATACACACAGACACAGACACACACAGACACACACACCACACACACAAATGTAGAGCCTTGACTGACATTGACGCGGAATCTGCAGTCTGTCCACATGAGCACGACTTCAAGTATGTTGGCGTTGATGTCGTCCAGTTGTCGCCTGGCAAATGCCCACACCACGCTGTTAATTATGGCTGACTTGCCGCCGCACTTGCCTGCAAGGTACACAATCTCATGCACGAGTGCCAGCAGCGTTGGTGTGGAGTCATCGTTGTTGTCAAAGAGTTGCAGCGCCGTCAGCGCCGCCAGCAGTCGCACCCCAGCGGCCGTGGTGGCCGGGTTGGAGGACATGCTCTGTTGTTGTTGTTGTCGTTGTTGTTGTTGTGAGCACGCAACGTTGGTGAGTGTGCGGGGGGGGGGGGTGAGTATGGTCTCGCAAGTCATTCACACACACATATACAGGCAAAGACGCACGATTACATATGGTCACAGCGTCATGTCATCAACAGCACATACGCGGGTTGGGAGCGCGCGGAAGACGGCAGCTTGGAGGCGGCCGCGTGTGGACAAAATATCCGACAGCGGTTCTCCATCATCGCTGTTATGATGATCATGATCGTTATGGTCATCATCATCACCATGACAAGTAGTGGTGAAGCCACGAGCGCCAGTGTGCACGGTGTCACCACTGTCAACAGCAGCATTCGCGGCATGAGTGGCATCATGGAGACCGCTTGCATTGTCTGCGGTTGTGTTGTTGCCGCCTTGTTGCTTGTTGCGCGGCCACAGCTGCATGACACACTCGCACAGCGCTGGGGAAGAAAGCATGTGCATGCACGCGCAGGCATACATTTGCATGTGGTCGTGAGAAGAGGCACTGCAACGACACGACAGCAAGGGGTAGGTTGACGCAAGTGACGTCGTGTGCAAGGTGCAATGTACATGGGACGGCAGTAATCGCTCTCTGCTGGTGCACACAACAGCATCAACTCATCATCACCTTGCGTCCAGTCCTCAAGCTTTGTTGGGGAGCGAAAAAACATGGGAGAGCGGGCACGCAGATGAAACACGTCAGCCAGCGTTTGGAAAGCACGTGTGTACTGTCCGCACGCGCGCTGTGACGTTTGCAGTTGGTTGAGACTTGTCAGTCGCTCCTCATCCGTGTGCAGCAGGTGGTCTGCGTGGGGGAAAGACAAAAATAATAATGAACACGTGCCGTCATGACCAAAACGGCGCAGTATCACTGAATACAGTCACGCAGAAAGCACAACATAGCAGATGATACACACGCACAAGCAGAGAGAAAGAAAGACAGACATACAGACAGATACACAGACAGACAGATACACAGACAGAGAGACAGGCAGACAGACAGACAGACAGACAGACAGACAGACAAACAAACAGACATACATACATACAGACAGATACACAGACAGAGAGACAGGCACACACACGAACCGCGAACAGGAAAGAGGAGCTGGCACACGCGCGCGTGTTCGCCTGCGTTGAAGTGGACGGCGGCCTGTGATCGCATGCGATCGACCTCCGCCTCCGCCAGAAGAACATCAACAACACCGGTCCTGACAGCGGGGCTGGCGTGTGTGTGCGTGCGTGCGTGTGTGTGTGTGTTCATGAATGTGTGAATGTGAGAATGTGTATGTCCACAGTGTCCCTGTATGAGTGTGAGACAAGCAGCAATCGTGTTCATAGCCACAGCAATCATCCACGCAGCTGCAACATGAATATGTGTGTGTGTGTGTGTGAGTGTATAAATGGATGGATGGATGCATGTGTGCATGTACAAAAGCACGTACAAGGAGGCGGTATGTGGAAGAAGAAGCTGGTTGCCCGAGATATGGGCGAGCATATCACGTGTCGTTCGCAGCCACACATGCTGCTCGTCAAGGTACGCCTGAACAGGGTGTGCATGCACGTGTTCGGACACGATTGAGAGAAGTGAATTCGTACTCGTTTGATGTTCAACAGCGACCACATGTCAGACACACACACACACACAATTCACACACACACACATCACACACATGCACACGTCACACACTTCACACACATGCACACGCACTTCACTTAACACACACCGCACACCTTCTCTTCAAGATCATGCTGCGCGTCGGTGGCCGCACCATCACCGCCGTCACACGTTGCTGCTGCTGTTGTTGTTGCTGTTGTTTGTGATGTGGATTGCGATTGCGGTTCCTTGCTGGAGTGGAGGTGGAGGGCTCGTGCAAACATGGCATTCAGCCACGCAAGCCGCACCTCCCAGTCCAGTGCTTTCGACGCTGCTGTGTTGTCAGCACGATTGTCTGCTTCGTCAGCATCGTCAGGGAGCGTTTGCATGTGTTTGCTCGCATCGCCGCTGTTGCTGTCATCGTCATCGCCAACTGTGACGACCGATTGCTGCTGACCTGCGGCGGTCATTGCGTGCTCGTGCACGAGCGTGTGCCAGGTTCGCAGCACAATCAGCCCTCGATTCACAAACTGAACACGCTCAACCCACGTGGGCTCCAACTCCACAGGTGTTGGCGCAGTGCCATCAGCAGCAGCAGCAGTAGCGTTGTCGCCATTGTCCTTGTTGTTGCTTGTCGTCGTGGTTTCAGCACCATCCTTCTCCTTCTCCTTGTCCTTCTTCTTGCTGCTGCCACTGGTTTTGCTGCTGCTGCCACGTTTGGGCGTGTTTTTTGCCTCGCTCAACAGCATCGCGTCAACAACAATCTCCGTGCCTGCAAGCAGCGCGTCTGCGAACACATGCGCGGCAGCCGGTGGTGCGCTGACCGCTGCTGCTGCTGCTGGCGATGATGCAGTGTCTGTTGTTGTGGCTGCTACTGCTGTTGTTGCTGTTGTTGCCGTTGCTGCTGTTGTTGTTGACTGTGTGGTGATTGCTGTTGTTGTTGACTGAGTGGCAGCATCAGCGTTCGGCGCCATGTCAGCGATGGACGGGGTGTGCAGCTGCACTGCTTCGCACAGGGCGGGCAGGAGCGACGTGTCAATGCGGACGTAGGTCTGCAGCTGTTGGTTGATGGCGGCAGTAGCGGTGGGGGAGAGGGTGTTGTGCATCTCCAAACGACCGGCTGCGCTCGTCATTGCTGACAGCACTGCACACATCCACTCCGTCCCGTCTGTCATGCAGCAAGTGACACAACGGGAGGTGTGAAAGAGAGTGTGCACGCGCGCGTGTATGTTTCTGCGCATGTATGTGTACAGCAGTGTCAGGCGGCATAGGATACAACAATGGTGTCCTGCACACAACCCCAATAGTACCAGCAGCAGCAGCCGCACCAGCAGCAGCGTCATACCTGCACAAGATGTGCTCACATACCGTTGAAGTATTTCGGCGAGCGGAAGAGCGACAGGATGGCCTGTGACTGTAACGCCACACCATCATCACCGCCATTACCATCATCGGCTGACACGAGTGCACCACTACCTTGCGGTGTGCGACTGCGCGCTGGCGTCGAATGCGCCGATCGCGACCGACTACTTCCACCACCACTGCCACTGCCATCACCACCACTGCCATCACCGCCATCGACCATGGCGCGCACGTCATCATCGAGAAGCATCTTCAGCTCAAGCACGAGCGAGCGTTGCTGGCGGTTGAGGTTGCGCTGCCGGCTCAAGCTCCGCTTCAGGGCGACAGCGCCACCGGGCGGGTTGGCCACAAAGTCGCCGTCGTCGTCGTCAGGGATGGTCGCTGGTCGTCATGGGGTGGCGTTGTTGTGATACGGAAGCGTAATGGGGTGACATTATCGTGCGTTGTGGGAACGTGTGCCGGTGAGTGGCATGTTGGAATGTGGAACAATTTGCGTGAAAGCTCAGTGCATGCAATAAATGGTAGATGGAGGAAGCAGAGCCATACGAGCGTGCCCCTTCCACACCTCCCTCCGACACATGTCCTTGCTCACCTGCGTTTGCGAGTCGTTTTGAGCGACGGGCGGATGCTCGCGCTGCTCTCATCTGTTGTCGCTTCTCCTCCCGCTGCTGCTGTATTTCCTCCTCGCGTTTGCGCCGGCTCGCTGCACGTGTCAGTCGCTTGGCTGGCGTTGGCCACTTCGCGCCTTTGCCACCACCACCACCACCACCACCACCACTCTCGGCGTCGTCATCATCACCATCATCATCACCATCATCACCACCATCATCATCATCGATGCAGTGAACATCCTCGCCACGTTGCTGCTGGTGCATACGTGTCGTCTTTGCTCGTTTGGCTGAGGGCGCACCACCGCTCAGCGTCAACGAGGACGACAGCAGGGCTGCGGAAGATGATGCCACGGCTGTGCCTGCAAGCACAACTCGGGCACCACTCGCGCGTGGTTGTGATTGTGACTGCGACTGTGTGCACTCATCGGTGAGCTGTGAGAGCGTGACCGACACCTGAGAATCTGTTGCTGTCGGCGCTTGGGAGTCGTTGATATCGGATGAACAAAACACGTCAGGCGATGTAGGCATGCGCTGCGCGGTTAACGCTGCCTGCTGTGCTGTCGCTGTTGGCTGTGTTGATGTCGCTGTCGTTGGTGTTGACGTTGTTGTCTCTGCTGATCCAAGCGCACCATCACGTGTGCGTCCGTCGTTGCCATCGCCATCGCCACCATTGTGCTGGCCCTCATTGCTCGTCCTCTTATTCGTGCCTGCTTCACTCTCAGCGGCTGACATCTGACACGGCCGTCAGCATGCGCGAGAGTGCAAACGTGTTTGTGTTTGTGTGTGTGAGTAAATGTGTGTGTGTGAGTGTGTGAGTGTGTGTGTGCGGGCGAGCGGGCGTGTTTGTGTTGGTGTGTGTGTGTAAATGTGTGTATGTGTAAATGTGTGCGCGCGCGTGTGTGTGTGTGCGCGAGAGAACGGAAGCACAGGGGGCAAGGAATGAGGAGAGACCCAGCTAAGCAGCAGCAGCATCAGTTGGGCCGACAGGAACAACGTTTGACGTGGCACCACGCGACGCTACCTTGAGCTGTTGGAAGACGGTGCGGGAGGGAATGCACGAGACGCGAACCGGAGCATCAACGCCATGCTGGCTCACGTGGTCTCGCAGCACTTCCATGATGCTGCCGGCAGTAGCAGGGCGGTTTGATGTCGTGGCATGAGATGAGGGGAGGAAGAGGTGCAGAGAGAGGAGCAAATACAAAACACACACAAACACACACACACACACAGATGCACAGATGCACAGAAGCATGTGCAATTTGACGAAGAGAGTGCCGAAATGAATACAGGAGGCCGTGCACACGGACGCATGTGTTGGTTGTGTTGCCGTACCCTGGCCAGGTGAGGCAGCGGAGACAAACTTGAACTGGCGGCGACAGCGATGATGATGATGATGATGGTGATGATGATGATGATGATGATGATGGTGGTGGTGGTGGTGGTGGTGCAGCATGGACAGCAGCTGCTTCAGGTAAAGCCGAAAAGTGCACATCGGGGAATCTGATCACGACAACACATCCCATGGGCACCTAGGGTTAGATGTATCACATCTGTGTAAGTGTCACGAGCAGGGCAAATGAGGGACCAAGCACCCCTGTGCGTCTTCATGCGCACACATAGAGCCCCCACATACAGTCACATACACACACACACACACCGCTGTTGCAGTGCACGCTGGGCATCTGCGTCGTCCAGGCGTCCCAGGCAGGAGTGGAGCTCCCTCACTGATGGCGTGTGCGACATTGAGGAGAGAGACATGGCCTGTTGTGGGGCAGACACTGGCATGTGAGTTCATGTTGACGGCAAACGCATGAGGGTATGTAGGCTGGTGTACAGCAGCAAACAGAGTGAACGCTGACCTCTTCAAAGCAGATGCGTGCCTGGTGCCACTGATGGGCCGCCTTGTACGCCATGCCAGCCTTGTACCACAGCATGTAGTCTGCATGGATGGTCGTGTGTGAGCCACAACAGCACACACACACACACATACACGCACGCACACACGCACACACACGCATGCACGCTGAACGAGATGTGACCACATGCACACGAGCGAGCGACAAAGTGATTGCATGCATGCCACTCACTGTCTGTGGTTGCGAGATTGATGGCTTTGGTCAGTGTTTGCACAGCAGCGTCGATGTTGTTCCGCCGCAGATACAGGGAGCCAAGCTCCGACGCTGTGGTGTACTTGAGCTCCTGCAGCTGTCGACCCAGCTCATCGCCAATGGCACCCTGCATACCAATACCAGCACCGAAACCACAGGCAGACACGCGGACAGCCGGAGAAGTAAACAGGCAGGCAGACGCACAGACAGCCGGAGAAATAAACACACAGACACACAGACACACAGAAACAGACAGACACACAGAAACATACAGACAAATTCACATACATGTATGGGTGTGTGCCAGAAAGGTGAGCTCATGCTAGATTCATTGGCAAAGAAGATAACCAGAAAAGGTGAGAGCACACGCCCCAGTTCGCACCACCATGGCGTGCGTCGCACCTCTAAGTGAAAGGATTCGAGGTCAGTCGATACTTGCTCCAGGGTCTCTTCTGCCAAGGCAAGATGCTTGAGTGCGCTGAGCTGCAATGCCTCCTTGACGCGGGCGGCCAGCCCATGCAAGCGCGCGCGTCGCTGCTTCTGCTTCTTGCGCGCTTCATCGAGGGCCTGCTGCTGCGCATCGCTGCTCACCTCATCCTCTGCCTCGAACCGCAACTACTCCGTCACGCACAAGCAACCAGCAGCCATGTGAGGACTCAACAGCGATTCGTACAACGACGGCAAGGGTGAGAACATGCACTTTGCCGCAGCACCAGCCAAACCCATGTCCAGCTGACTGAGCTGAACCCACCACCAACCACCAACGACTGCGACAACCACCAACGACTGCGACAAACCGCCACTGCCTGACCATCTCGCTCGCAGCAGTCCGGTCTTCTTCCTTTCCGCGCCACCGATTTCTGTGTGGAATCATTAGCCACTTATCTACAATCAACCACACAAACGACAACGAAGAAGAAGAAGAGGAGAAAGAGGAAGAAGCGAGCGAACGAACACCAGCCAGCCCCAGCCAGCCCCAAACGCGATGAGCGACTATGGTGCTGTGAGGGCATCAGCGCTCAAGTTCAAGGGCGGAAAGGACGCATCGAGTCACAAGAAGAAGAAGAAGAAAAAGAATAAGGCCAAACGCAAACACAAGGAGGCGGAGCGCCAAGAACCCCTTCGCCATGGTGAGTGTCCAGTGTGATGTGTGTGTCTGTTGTGCGTGTGTGTGATGTCTGTCAATTTGTTTTGTGCCGTGATGTGTGCGTGCGTGTGTTGTGTGTGTGTGTGTGATGTGGTGGTGTTGTGTGTGGCGAGTTGCTGTACTTGCACGTGCCTTCTTGAGCTGATGTGTGGTTTGGCTGTGCACTTCCATGTTTGGTTTTACAGGGGCATGGTGGCAGGTGAAGCGCCCAGAGGACCTGACAGGAAACGTCATCATGGAGAGCGAGAGTGGGAAGTACGTGATTGCGTTGGACAACGGCACCGTATCTGTCGGGGAATCCACCAAGAACAGCGAAGGCCCAGATGTGCAGGAGATCCTCACCATCATGTGCGTGTCCGATAACCGCGTTGCCATCAAGACGCCCTTCAACCGCTTCTTGTCTGTGGAATCGGAGTCTGGCGACGTGACCGGCCTGAAGGAGGCTATCGGAGCACTCGAGCTCTGGCAGCCCATCTTTGACGACGAGGTGTGCGTGCAAGTGTGTGTGTGTGTGTGTATGTGTGTATGTGTGCGAGTGTGTGCAAGTGCGTGTGTGTGCGTGTGTGTGTGCGTGTGTGTGCAAGTATGTGCGTATGTGCAAGTGTGTGCCGTGGCTGCACACGTTGTACGAGGGCGCTTGTAAGGTGCGTGTATCTTGATGTTCATCCTCGTTTCCACACTGTCTTCACTGACCTCACTGACCTCACTGACCCACAACTTGTGGCCGCTCTGTTGTTGTTGGCGATTGCAGGGGCTGGTACTCTTCCAAGGGCCCAACAAGAAGGTGCTTGAGGTGGCACCTGGCGAGAAGGCCAAGTGCAGCAGTGCCGTTGGGGAAGGCAACACGCACTTCAAGCTATGGTCGTGTGCGGAGAGGAAGAAGGAGAAGAAACCCATTGGTGACGCCTATGATGTGGAGGACGAAACAGGCCTCACAACCACAGAGTCAAAGATCGCTCGCAGGTACGCTTGCAGCGTGTTCGCGTGTGTGCACTTGTTTGCGTGTGCGTGTGCGTGTACGTGTGCGTGTGCGTTTGTTTTTTGTGTGCGTGTGCGTGCATGATCGTGAGCACTTTGTGTGCGCGCACTTGATCTGCATCAGACATGCAGCTGCTTCATCTTCAATTTCGCCCCACGCGTCTCACACCACACGCGTCTCACTCACCAACCCCCCCCCCCCCCGCCTCACTCACGATGCTCTCTTCCCCCGTGCTGCACTGCAGGTTCCAGAGCTGGCAGGACGGGAAGCTGCGACTGTCGGGCGGGGATGCGAACGACCTCAAGCGGGCGAAGCAGGAGGGCAAGTTGCACGAAGCACTCCTTGACCGACGCGCAAAGATGAAATCAGACAGATACTGCATGTGATGTGTGTGTGTGTGCGTGCGTGTGTATTTGTGTGTGTGTGTGTGTGCGTGCGTGTGTATTTGTGTGTGTGTGTGTGTGTGCGTGCGTGTGTATTTGTGTGTGTGTGTGTGTGTGCGTGTGCATGTTTGTGCATGCGCATGTCTGCGAATGTAATGCGTGTGTGTGTGTGTGCATGCGCATGTCTGCGAATGTAATGTGTATGTGTGTGTGTGTGTGCATGTGTGCCCAATCTGCTTGTTGAAATCGAAACCATAAAGCATCACCCTTGGTGCGTTCAAATTCCATTTGATGTACTGCGATGCACAAGAAGAGGTTCAACCGATCAACAGACACCACACGACCAACAGACACCCCACGACCATAATCACATGTCCGCCTCAGTGGCGTCACGAGAACATGTCATCCTCGCCCTCCTTCTTGTCGTTCTGTTGTTGTTGCTGTTGTGGTCTGGACTTATTCACCTCCTCCGCGCTTTCGCCGTACAGCCAAATCCTCTCTTCCTCCCGTGCACGCTGGTCAAGCTCCACTTCATCATCATCGTCGCCACCATCACCATCACCACCCTTGCTGTGTCTTGCCCGCTTGGTTTCACGGCCATCATCACCATCACCACCACCGTCGTCATCATCGTCGCTGCTGTCTGTGTCCTCCATGGGCTTTCCATCAATATCGCTGTCATCATCATCATCACTGTCATCATCCATCGGTTTGCCATCAAGATCATCTTCGTCCTCGTCGTTCTCCTCCTCCACCTCTTCCATTGGTTTGCCGTCCAAGTCGCCCTCCCCTTCACCGGCACCTGCCTGCTCGCCTTCCTGCTGTGCTGCTGCTGCCTCTGCTGCTGCTGCTGCTGCTGCTGTTGCTGCTGCTGCTGCTGCGGCTTCTTCCTCTGCTTCCTTCTCCTCCTGTTCAGATTGATGTGACGTAGTGGTGGTGGTGGTGGTGGTGGTGGTGGTGGTGTGTGTGTGTCATCTCGACGCAGGTGTGCGTAGACACCCGGAAGCAGAGATGCAGAGATACATGCAGGTACAGAGAGACAAGGGCAGGCAGAGACACAGGAAGGTAGAGACAAAGAGACAGACACACAGACAGACAAACACACACACAGACAGACACAGACAGACAGACAGACAGACAGACAGACAGACACACATACACACACAGACAAACAGACACACGGAACACTCAAGACCTTGCGGCCGTGCTGGAAGATTTTTGCCATTTCGTCGAGAGAATCGAGGGTGAAGATGGCCCACTGCTTCCACACATCCAAACACACAAGCACTTGTTTCTGGGAGGTGGAGGATGTGATACAAGCGAGGGAGCATGGATGGGGCAAGGGAGTGAGTCGTGGCATGCACAGACGGGAGCAAACATCTGCCTCTGTCTCTTGCTGCCTGGCTAAGTACACACACACACACACCCACACCCACACCCACACCCACACTCTCACACTCTCACACTCACACGTACACACACACACACACACACACACACACACACACACACACCGCACAAGCAAACGAACACACAGAGCGCCAACACACCCTGAACTGCTCTGCGCGGAGTCGACCGCGGATGGCGCGGTACGTGCGGTGGAGATGGTGGAAGATGTCCGGCAACCGGCGCCCAAATCCGGTGCGGTACATGGAGGCATTGGCCACGCCAGCCATGCTGTTGTGAAGGATGTCCGAGACAAGATACAGGCGGGCAATCTTCAGCGGCGGCGGCGTGTCAAGCTCCGACAGCGATTCTGTGATCACATCCATCACCTGATTGGGGAGAGGGATGGGGGTGGGGGTGGGGGTGGGAGAGGACGAGGTGAGTGAGGGAGTGTGCAGGTGAAGCGAGGTGGGCGAGTGAAGTGAGGTGAGAGAGTGGGTGAATGTGAATACACAAAACGTGTTCGAGCAGGCCAAGCCACAGCAAGCCCCATTCATGCCCTCGCCCTTCTCATCATGACACGCGTCTCACCTCCTGCGCTGCGTCTGCGCGCGTGATTGCAAAGTGCATGACATCTGCAATCTCGTCTGCGTCCGCCGTCAGCTCCGACACGCGGTCCTCCAGCCGGTCCCGGTCCCTGGCGATGATGGCGGTGGTGGACATGGCGATCATGGTCACGGTGTTGGCGTAGGAGGTGGTGGTGGACGCATGCAAAGTGACAGACGCAGACGTAGACACACACACACACATACACACACAGACGGATGGACGGACACACACACACACACACACACACACACACACACACACACACACACACACACACACACAGCCATTCACGCACACACACACACACACACAGCCATTCACGCGAACCCTGTCTCCTTCACGACGGACCTTCCTGAGAGCTTCCCTCTCTCGACGTCGTCGTCGTCGCCGTCCACGAGTGGCGGCTGCCAGAGCGATCCGCCGCTGTACAGACGATACGGCTCCTCGTCCCACTCGTCAACCCGCTCATACTGGCACGCACGCGCACACACGTAGCCGACGTGGCACAGAAGTTGGGTGAGTGTGTGAATGAGTGCACGAGTGAGTGAGTGTGTGTGAGTGAGCGATCATGTGTGTATATATATGTGTGCGTGTGTGGCTGTGACACTGAAGCGTACGCGAGTCAAAACGCGTTGAAATTACAAGGGCCAAAGCCACGCCATGATCTCAACGTCCGGTACTCACTTGCAAGATTGAGTAGAGCTTCCACCGGTAGTAGACGTGTTCGCTCGAGGAGAAGTCGCGCAGGAACGAAAACTGGCACACGCACGCACACATGATGCGATGCACAGAGGTGCGCATGAAAGGAGCAACATATTGCAATGTGAGGACAAACGAAAAACGATGCAAATACGGCAGCACGCAATAAGCGCAAACACGACATGTACACGTGCCCTTCCTTATACACGACGCCACAACACCGCCACGTGAAGCAAACGAACGTCCTTGTCGAAGTTTGTGCGCTTGGCGAGCTCATCCTCAAACTCGGGTCCGTGGCGCACGACAAACTCGATGGTGCGGTGGATGAGGCGCCGGATGCGTCGCTCCTTCGGGATCACCACCTGCCAATGGCGATGGCGACGGTGATGGTGTTGATGGTGGAGGTGTTGATGGTGGTGGAGGAGGAACTGGTGAAACGGACGTGCTTCATGCATGTATCCGCAAGTAAGCAGGTAAACACAGACACACACACACAGATAGATAGACAGAGACAGACACACACACACACAGACAGACAGACAGACAGGCAAACCAATCCATCCACGGCACCTTGACGACGGCGTCGTAGATTGCGTCATTGCGCGAGTCGTGTGGGCCGGCGCGGTATGTGTCGCGCATCTGCGCATTGAACGGCAGCCCCGTCGTGTCGAGCGGCGCCGCCTCCGGGTGCACGTAGAACGGGCGGTCCGGCACTGGCACAGGCTTGCCCCAATCCACCGTCAGCTCCAGGCCGTTGATGCCCTTACGCAAGACCGATGTCATGGCGCGCTCGGCGTGCTTTCGCGTCATGTACGCAACAAAGCCGGTGAGGTACCCCTTGTAGTCCGAGGGGACACGCGGCCAGTAGATCTTGACGCTGGCGAGCGGCCCGAAGATGCCAAACATCATGGCGAGCTTGTCCTCGTTGAAGTCCATGGGCAGGCCTGAGATGAAGAGGTTGGTGGTTTGCATCGGCTTTGGCGTCGTGTCCACGGGCGGCGGTATCGCGTCCTCCCCGCGCGCACTCCGCTCCTCCTGGGACCTGCGCATGGTGTTGGTGTGAGTGTGTGTGTGTGTGCGTGTGTGTGTGAGTGAGTGAGTGAGTGAGTGAGTGAGTGAGTGAGTGAGTGAGTGAGCGTGTGAGTGAGTGAGTGAGTGAGTGAGTGAGTGAGTGAGTGAGTGAGTGAGTGAGTGGGTGAGTGAGTGTGTGTGAGTGAGTGAGTGAGTGAGTAAGTGAGTGTGTGTGTGTGAGTGAGTGAGTGAGTGAGTGAGTGAGTGAGTGAGTGAGTGAGTGAGTGAGCGTGTGAGTGAGTGAGTGAGTGAGTGAGTGAGTGAGTGAGTGAGTGAGTGAGTGAGTGAGTGAGTGAGTGAGTGAGTGAGTGTGTGTGTGTGTGTGTGTGAGTGAGTGTGAGTGAGTGAGTGAGTGAGTGTGTGTGTGTGTGAGTGAGTGAGTGAGTGCGCATGGTGTGTGTGTGTGTGTGTGTGTGGGTGTGTGTGAGTGAGTGAGTGAGTGTGTTCAAACATGGACGTCACCACTGCACGCGTGCAAATTCAACCAGCAAAACGGTTCAAACGCACACAGCACATGCACTCACTGTTTCAGGGCCTCCTTGAAGCGCTGCAAGTTACTGTTCTTCTGGAATGTGGAGCGTGTATCTTCCACCTTGGGTGCCTCTTCCTCCTCGCCCTGAAACCCAACGTGTCGGCACGAGCAGCAACGTAGAAGGTGAGACCCAAAGGGTGAGGGAGATAGTGCGAGACGACACGCAGCATCACCAAGCCATGTGCGCAAAGCTGGGCGAAATGTCACGGGGCCGCACGCGCACACAAGCGCAGTGCCAAGAGTGCTACGAAGACACACAGTGCAAAGTCCCTCCGACACACACACACACACACACACACACACACACACACACACACACACACACACACACACACACACACGCCCTGCAGGCAGTACTCACGTCATCGTCGTCACCGCCGAAGATGTCGCTGACGTTAACGGGCTTGACTTTGCTGGCCAATACAAGCTTGGCGCGCTTTGGCTGCGGCTTGCTCGATTTCATGCTCATGCGAAACCCTATTGCAGAGCGCGTGTAGGAGGTGTGTTAAAGTCGCATCAAGACTGATTGGCATGTGTGTTGGAAGGGGGAAAGGAAGCTATCATGCAGACACACGCACAAGCAGAAATGTGATATGTACAAACCGACACACACAAACACACCACATACACACACGCACACGCACACACACAAACACACACACACACGCACAACCTATTCACAAAGGCTCACCTGTGGAGGCAGGCTTTGAAGCCTTGGTTGTCTCAAAGGCGCTGTTCATATCGGGTGCTGCGCCATGGTCCCGCGCAAACTCTTGGAACGCGCGTTTTGCTGCCTCTTCTTCTCGCTAGTGTTGAATGGATTGGATTGGATTGGTTGTGTTGTTCGGTTAACGCGGTGGCTCGTCTGGGAAACTCGGTGCTGAGTTGAGGCACGGGGAAGAGAGAAGAGGGGCGGCTGCGTTTGGGGAGAGGAAGAGAGGGTTGTCACATTACCTGACGTCGCTCTTCTTCCTTCTTCTTCTGTTCCTCCCGTTCATTCCTGGTCTTCCGCTGCACATGTTGGTTGCGTTGCAGAGAGGGAGGGAGAGAGAGTGTGTGTGAGTTGTGTGTGAGTGCATGTGCGTGTGGGCGTGTGGGCGTGTGTGCGTGTGGGTGTGCGTGTGGGTGTATGCGTGTGTGCGTGTGGGTGTGATTTTGAGTGCGTTGTGTGAGCAGGGTGTGTGCCTTTGTGTTGGTGAGTGTGCAGCAGCAGCGAGGAGCGAAAGCGAGCAACAACACTGGGCAAGTAGTCGTACCCCTGCAAAGGCGAAGCCCTGCAGTTTCTGACATGCAAACGCGCCAGTGGACGTGAGCGCATGCGTTCACGCGGTAAGCAGGGATGTCAGGAAAGCAAACATGTGAGGAAAGTGGGGATGTGATGAAGCAGTAATACAGAGAGAAAGAGAGACAGAGACAGAGAGAGACAGAGAGAGACAGAGAGAGACAGAGAGAGACAGAAAGACAGAGAGGCAGGCAGACACAGACACACACACACACGCACGCACACACACAGACACACAACCCACGATGGGGGTTGTCTTCTTCGCCCAGCCACTCATTCTTGAAAGTTGGTTGAAGATATTTGACAATCCTCCATTCACACGACCACCCAATATCACCAGCGACGAGTGAGAAGTGAAGCCACAGCCACACACCACAGCCACACACCACAGCCACACACCACAGCCACACGCCACCATACAACAAAGATGAGCGAGCAAGGAAAGTCGAGGACGGTGACGCTGCCGGAGGTGGTTCGCAACTTCGGTCCTGAGGAGTACGGCACCATTGTTCTTGGGACGGCAGGCACTGCATTCGCCGGTCATTACATCAGCAGTGCGTTTACCAGTTTGTTATCGCTGTGTTACATGGCTGTGTTTGTTGTGTGTTGTGGCTGTGTTGCGGGTGGGTGCTTTTGCGTTTGTTGTGTTGGTGGCTGCATCTGCATTGCAGCATTGCTTCCTTGGTCGCTGCCGCTGTGACTGAGACTCCTGTGCCGTAAACACACGCACTCCATTCACGCACCTACTGTTTCCTGCTACCCCCTCTCGACTCTTTCCGCTCTCCTCCTTGTGTTAGACCCTTATGTGAAGAAGCACGCAATGTGGGCGTCTGCGTTTATTGGCTTCACCGGTGCGGCGTGTTTGGCCATCCTCAACAAGACACATGACTGTAAGTCCTTTTTTTTTTCCCGAGTGTGCATGGGGATGCGTGGTGTGACGGCCGGTGGCTCTGCTGTACATGCATGCAGCGCATGTCGCATGGAAACTTGTGGAGAGCAGCTGCCATCGTTCGGAGCAGCTGGCCCCTGTTCCGTCCATGTTCACTTCTCAACCCAACATTGTGTCTTTGCTTTGCAGTGCTCGGTGACTCCGAGAAGAAGAACTGAGGCGGCGACTGCGTGCATGTGTTCATGTGTGTGTGTGTGAAACTGTGTTAATGACATGTTGTGACAGAGGCGCGTGCGGTGCTGTGTTCAGTGCTGCCTGTAGTTGATGAGAGGAAAGGAGAGAGTGCGCTCTATGTGTGTGAGCGTGTATGCGTGCGTGTGGCTGCGTGGGTGCGCGTGAAATCCCTGCTGTGTGTTCTGTGTATGTGTGTGTGTATGTGTGTGTGCATGATATGATTGCCATTGTTGTTGTTGTTGTTTTGAGTGCCTGTTCGAGGTTGCTCCCCTTCTTTCTCCCCTCCACCCTGAGTGTGCCTTCCACTTGTGCTGTGCCACAAGTACAGATACAAACCCATTTACTTGTGTACATGTATTGGTTAACAATGGGATGGAATGGCGTGCGTGAGCGAGTTTCTGAGCGAGTTCCTGAGAGAGGAGAAGGGGGGGGGAGCGAGAGAGTGTGTTTGGATACATGTCTCTAGGGTGTATGTGTGTGTGTGTGTGTTTGCACAAACACGCGTGCTCGTGGGCGTCGTCGCCAACATCACAAGTATCATGCCTCGCGTGATGCCGGTGGTGTGATACCGCGTCGGCTGAGCTCTGCCCGCTGCTGGGCCACCTCTACTTCCAGCTCCTCCACCTCCCGCGCAAGCAGCGCCGCCCTGCCCTGCTTCGTCTTCAGCCTCTCCTTTGAGTCCAGGGAGCGCAGCGGCAGCCACGTGGGCAGTTCTTGCCGGCTGCCCTCGCCTTGCTCCTCCTCGCCTTTATTCTCTTTCACTGCTTCATTTGCTAATGCCTCAGGTGCCGTTGCCTTGTGCGTTGGAGGGTGGGTGGATGGGTGCAGCAGGTGAGGATGATGTTGCGCAAAGGGAATGTGAGGGTGTGGATGTTATTTCGGCAGCCGCAGACAGACAGACGGACGGACACACACAGAAAGATAGGCAGGCAGACGGACAGACAGACGGACAGACGGACGGACGGACGGACACAGAAAGATAGGCAGGCAGGCAGACAGACAGACGGACGGACACACGGGCACACACACACACACACACACACACACACACACACACACACACACACACACACACACACACACACACACACGTCGTGTGACTATGTTGCTGCTGTCGCCGACGACGTGCCTGGAGAGCATCTCTGTCGTCGCCAGTCCAGCACAGCCTGACGCGAGTGCTCATCGGTGGCAGCGGCCGCAGCCCCCATGCCGCCCAGCAGTCATGGAGATGGATGGGCGCAGGCCCCTACTGCACGCACGACAGCAGCAAGCAGGGT